CCTGGATCAACTGTCTTCTCTTCTCTGCAGCTGATTTGTCCCTGTATAATGAAAAGGACACATTAGAACAATCTTTTGTGAGTGGCAAGTACCTCATGAAATGGCTTAAAGTAGGCTCCAGAGAAGGGTAAATAAGTGGAAGGTGCATATTGTGATTATGACTCTGATATGCTAAAAGAACTATGCCCCAGTCCCTTTAGTACTCACGCTTCAGCAGTAGGGCCCACAGCCCTATAGTTAGCTGTGGTGCTAATCAGCTCAGTTTCCTCATAATCTTTGTTCACACCATCTCTCCGTTCCTTAGCTCGGTCCCGGTACTTTTCTGCTAGTTCTCTCTCTCTCTCAATTTCTTGTTGGCGTAGCTTAGCATAGTAACTGTGAGCAGAGAAAGCAAGTATGTGAGACTCACCAGCTGCTATCTCAGGATAAACAGAACTATACCTGCCTATTTCCCTATATCTTTATCCAGCTATAAATGTTCTAACAGAAGTTCAGGCTACCTCTTGATAGACTTTAAAACTAGAACTACAGTTTCTTTCAGGTCACAGATCATACTTTTCTAATGCCATCATAGGAAACCCCATCTGTCACTATAGAACTCCTTAATGGCTGAGTGCTAGTGGCTCACACTAATTATCCTACCTACTTGGGAGACTGAGATCAGGAGGACTGCAATTTAAGGCCAGTCCAGGCAAGTAGTTTGTGAAACCCCATTTCCAAAATAACCAGAGCAAATGGGTCAGGGGTGTGGCTCAAGTGGTAAAGCACGTGCTTTGCAAGCATGAAGCCCTGAGTTCAAAACACAGTCCCACCCAAAAAAAATAAAAAAGAACTCTTTAATGCCACTTAATTCTACTGATTCTCTACAGGTATGAGACTTTGCCACAAAACAACCAGAAAAATCTCTGAACTTTTATTACCTTTTATATTTCAGCTGAAAATAACTCATTCCTTTCTAGTCTGTCCCAAGACAGGAAAAGCAAAGTAGTAGGTTCAGAAAGTTCAGTACTATGTAGATAAGGATGATGAAAACAGTAATGATGGTAGCAACCAAGTTTTAGTGGATGGTTACTATATGCCCTGGCACTAATGCTTACATGAAGTATCATAGTTGAAACTTGTAGCAGCCTAATAACCATTATCTATATCCTACCCATGGATTAGAAAAGTTAAACAAAATACCCAAGGTTATCCAGTTAGAAACTAGTAAGATCAGATTAAAATATAGGGAGGCTGACTCCAAAGCCCTATCCTTCCACTGTTGAATACCACTCCTCTCCATTAAGAAACAGAGAACCTCAAACAACAAAAGAAAACCTCAGACTCTACTCCTTTCACCCCAAACAGTCTCCACCTTAAAAAGTAACACCTCTTCACCATTCCTTCACCTTTTCTTTTTCCTTCTTCGTGCAGCTGGGTCTTCATCCTCATTGTACTCTCTTGGCATCCTTGAAGAGACAAGAAATTCACTAATAGTAAAATACTGCTCCAGCACTAGAAACCCCAAGAGGCCTTGAGGATTTAAGAAAGAAGACTGTCCAAAATAACAGTTTTAATCAGGCAGAGATCTAAGTCAGTATTTGTAGGTAAGTAGTTCTCAAACTCTAAAAACCATCATAAACATGTAAGGGACTATTAACATTATATATTCCTCAAGTATCTGTCCCAGAAAGTCTGAATCTGTGGGACTGCAAAAGGCCCAGGAATCTGTCCATTTGCACCAACAGTAACTAGTACAAGTGGTCCATGCAACATATTCTGAGAAACCATGAGAACCCAGAACATCCTGGTCATCACTGGCGCATCAGTCTTCACAGGGAGAAAATCAGAACCACTGGGTTCAAAAAAGGACTAGCCTTGCAGCACCTAAGAAATTCTGGTTTGATACAAAGGGTGGGAGACAGATGTGATGACCTAAAGACTTACTCATGGTGACGTGACTTAGAAGGTGGTGCAGAGGTAGGTGCAGCCCTTGGGGTCATGAGAAGTTTCCTGAAGTCTTCATTGGTAAGTTTTGATCTAGAAGAAATGGCAAGGATTTTAAAAATTAGCACCCAATAGAAAATGGAGAAGAAACTTGTAAAAGACATGGTTAACTTTACTAGGAAACAGGGAAATACAAATTAAGGAGATACCACTTTTAGCACATGAGTATTAACTACAAAAAAGTTTAATAAAAAATGAATGTGAATTTAAGAAGTGGATATTCTTGTATACTGCTAAAAGGAATATAAATTAATATAACCAATTTGGAAGGCAATTTGGCAGCATTTGCTAAAATTGAAGTATATATATTATATGAATGAGCAATTCCATTTAGCTATATTTAACCTAAACAATTACTGTCATATGTATGTAAGAAAGCTACAAAGGAGGTTCAAATGTAGTCTGGAAAAATAATGTTGCAAACAATCTAAATGTTCATTAACTAGAGAATAACTAAACAGTGATAATTTTTCTCAACTGTGGCATAGCACTAAGGTAAAGCACAGATATAATTTTAATTAGTCCACTGACAAGGACTTTTTTTTTCTCCTTTTGTTGTTTTTTTTTGGGTTTTTTTTGGTGGTACTGGAATTTGAATTCAAGGAGTACACCTCTAGGCTGATAGGACTCCTTTGACCAAGCTAGAGTCACATTTCTTTGAGAACCTCTCCTGACAAGGGCTCTCCTTTGGCCTGATGACCCGTTTCAAAAAGCTTATCCTGAGCTAGATGGGTGGCTCACACCGATAATCCTGGCTACTTTGGAGGCTGAGATTGGGAGGATTGTAGCTCGAGGCCACCTAGACAGTTCACGAGACTCCATCTCCAAAATAATCAGACCAAAATGGAATGGAGCTGTGGCTCAAGTGGTAGAGTGCCCGCTTTGCAAGTGCGAAGCCCTGTGTTCAAACCCCAGTTCCATAAATAAGTAAATAAATAAAAAGGAATCTTGTTAGGCCAATTTATTGAGAATCTCATCCTTGATATCTAATCAAGTTCTTCTTCCCTCAAAGGAACTTTATTGCAGTCACGAATACTATAATAAGGGGAGAGAAAGAACTTAACTTCAATACAAAAGAAACAAGTGAGAATTTATAGAAAATTGCTAAGAGAAACTTGGTTAGGTTGGAAGTGTTTAATTCCTTGCTAAAACTGGGTTCAGCAAGCCAAGGACAAAACCTAGTAAAAAAATAGGCCTCTTTGGTTGGGTGTGGTGTCACATGCCTACATTCTCAGCAATAGGGAGGCTGAGGCAGGTTTGTGAATTTGAGGCCAGCCAGGAGTGTAGAGCAAGACCTGTATCAAAATACCAAAGTAAAGGTATGGCTCAAGTGGGAGAGTGCTTGCCTATGCCTATCAAGTGCAAAACCCTGAGTTCAAACTCTAGCAGTATGGGTTGGGGGTGGGAGTAGGGGAGATGGGGAAGGGTAAGAGGGGGGGAAGCCCATGAAAGTAAATAAAGCTAGCCTGGCACAGATGGCTCACCCTTGTAATCCTAGCTACTCAAGAGGCAGAGATCAGGAGAATGGCGGTTAAAAGCCAGCCCAGGCAAATAGTTCAAGAGACCCTATCTTGAAAAAACCCTTCACAAAAAAGGGCTGGTGGAATGGCTAAAGATGTAGGCCCTGAGTTCAAACCCCAGCACCACAACACAGAAAAAAGAAAACAAATCTTAAAAAGGGCCTAGAATTGTGGCGATTATCAAAGAGCCTTATTTCCGATGCTTTAATTTTGTACAAGAATAATTCCTATATTGTAAATTTAACTATGATATGTTGTAAGAACTTCTGTAAATTTCAATGTACCTCCAGTACAATATAGAAAAATTTTTTAAAGAATTCCTATATAATGTATAATTAACTGACACATTTAAAAAACTAGAATCTTCCCTAGTTTTTCTTCTTTAATAATCTTAAGTAATGCACCTGATCCGCCTAATGTTCACAGAGATATAAAAGTACCAAATGGTACAGTCTTTTCACTGCTTTTGCTGACAAGATAGTAAGAACTCTCACCGTTACCACTACTACTCCTAATTATTATTCAGCTCATTTCATGGTCTTAGGACAAAATACTCACTGGTGGAAAGAGTGAGGATCATCCACATCGTGGCCATCTGGGGCCAAAGGGTTGGAGAACGGCTCACCTAACGAAAAAAATTGACGTTAATTTAATCAGGCTCTTATATGCCAGGTCCAGTGCAAAAACTGGGGATTACAGTAGTGAAGACAGGAGAAAGGCAATAAGAGCGGCGATACAATTGTGATAGTACAATGTAGTATGTGCTGAAATTGGACGATGCAAAGACCTAAGAAAGCACAAAGGAAGGGCCACTTAACCTGAGGAGCAAAGCCTTTCCTAAACATGACATCGAAGAGGACACTCCTGTAATCCCAGCTACTCGGGAGGCGGAGACAGGAGGGGTAGAATTGGAGACTAGCCGGGCCAGCGAGAGCCTCTCAGAAACAATACACAAAAAGGGGGGGGAGTGGAGGCTGAGAGCGTGACTCAAGAGAGAGACCTGTGTTCAATCCCCACTAACGAAAATTCAACAATAAAAACTACGGAGGTTTGTGACGGAGTCTGGAGCTGCCTGCCCTCTTTTGAGGCCCAACGGCTTATCTGGGTTCCAAGTGTCACTCAACACCCTACTTAAATTCTGCCAAATTAACGCGCAAAATGTCCCTAATCCTGCAGGGAAGAAAAGACAGTTGACCGAGTCTTACTATCTCGCTCCGGCATTTTGTCCGCGGTCTTTCAACGCCACCAGGAACCGAACATCGAACAACAAAACGGCGGCGGCAGGCTTTTTCCCACAGTGCTTTGTGCTCGGGCCCTTCCGGCTTCCTCTCTAGCACGTCGGTCCCACTGCACCGAGAGAAATTGGAAAACCTCACTGAGGCCCTGAAATGCTTTCATGTCATTGGTTAAGATTTGTCCCGCCCCTCCCCCTGCGCCAACCAATCTGTGGCTAGACCGAAGGCTCCTCTATTGGTTTGACTGGAGTTGGCTGGAAAGCTTGGGATTGGATGCATCAGTGCTAGCGAAGATGGCGGCGGCCGCGGCGAGTCAAGGGATCGGGACAAAGTTGGCCCTGCGGGAAATTCGCATCCACTTATGCCAGCGCTCGCCTGGCAGCCAGGGTGTCAGGTGAGGCGCGGCGTGGTCAGGCGGACGGGCTTCGGGATACCGGGGTTACGGCCTCGACTTCCCGGGTGTATGGGAGGTCGCATCCACAGAACGGCGGCGCTCTCTCCGACCCCCGCAGGGATTTCATCGAGAAACGCTATGTGGAGCTGAAGAAGGCGCACCCCGGCCTGCCCATTCTAATTCGTGAGTGCTCGGATGTGCAGCCCAAGCTCTGGGCCCGCTACGGTGAGTGCTGGTCACCGGAGGTCTGAGACCCGGTGGGGAACAGGACTCGGGAAAAGAATGGGCTTCCCAAGGTCACGCAAAGACTGGAGACTAGAACTCGAGCTTCAGCCTTGCTATTGCTGATGAAATTCCCATTCCAGGGTTATATTAGGCAGCATATATGTAGAGCCTGGGAGGTCTTGGCGTAAACGCCAGGGATTTTTGCTGTTCGGAATGGGCTTCAGGTAGACGGTTCTTCCAAATTATGTGTGGCCGATGCTGGTTCCGGATACTGCGTGAGAATTTCAGTAATGTTGAGTAATATCCTAGGCCCTGTGCTGAGTGCTTTCCTGCCTACATCTCAATCTTCGTTCTTCATTAATCATATAAGCGGGTGGGTTCCTCCACCCCGTAAAGATTAGAAAACTGAATCAAAACTTCGTGGAACCCACTGCTCCATTATTTCCATCAGTGGAAGGTAACTTTGGGTACAGTGCTCTTTTGTAAGATAAGTGCATCGTACATTCGAAGTAAAATTGTGGATGCAGTGAGCTATCTGCGTAAATGATAAATGACGTTTAAAGGGTATAGCTTGGAACAAGTGAATTTAAAGTCTACCAAAAGAAAAAAAAAAAAAAACTTTGTAGAAGGTATCTAAAATTATGCAGCTAGTGTGTAACACAATTGCTCCTAAACCTGGCCCTCTCTCAGACCTCAGTGGCTTGTGCCCTATTATTATTCTGCCTGGTCACAGATATTACCACTTCAAGGCCTCCTCTGGACTGGGGATGTGGCTCAAGTGGTAGAGTGCCTGCCTGGCAAGCATAAAGCTGAGTTCAAACCCTAGTACTGCAAAAAAATAAATAAATAAGAAGCATCCCTTGATCAATTATTTTAACATTGCCCCAGCCCCTTTTTATCATATTACTATATTCCAGTTTGTCACAATCTAGAAACTTAAAATGTTGCCTAACAGACAGTAGGTATGTAATATATTGGCGGGCACCAGTGGCTCATACCGGTAACTTTAGCAACTCAGGAGGCAGAGATGAGGAAGAGTGCAGTTCAAAGCCAATCGAGCAAATAGTTGGAGAGACCCTATCAAAAATACCCAACACAAAACAGAGCTGGCAGAGTGACTCAAGTGGTAGAGCTCCTGAGGCCCTTAATTCAAACTTTAGTACCACCAAAAGAAAAAAGGAACTATATATATGTACCCAATGGTGGAATTTTAATCATGGCTTTTAATTACATCCTGCCCTAGGAATGTCTTAAGGGTAGGGAAGAAACACACCTAGGCAGATTGATTCTAACAGTGGACACCTTTAGTATGTCATACACTAATTGAGGAAGGAAAAAAACGTTCTTCCTAAAGCCAGTAGACTAGAAGGGGAGATAGACACAAGTAACTTCAGTGTTGTGCTTTGTATTATGCTAGATGGAATATGGGAGCCCAAAGAATGTGCACCCAACCAAGGATAAGCCTGTGTAATGCACTGCTCACTGCAGTTAATAAAAAATGCCTATGGTGACCCTTTACACATCCTTGAAACACCTTCTAATTGAGGCCACCCAGAATCAGCCAAAATTAGTTGGACCTGAGCTTCTAGATATGTTTGACTCACTGGGTTAATTCTAGGCATAGCAAATCCATCTTGGTCATGTCTCTTTACTATCTTTGCCATCCTAACAAGACTTTGAGATAGAGACAATTATAAAGGTATAATTTCATAGCTCCACTGTGCAGGGTACATACTTAGTCATTTCTCTCTCCTTAGCATTTGGGCAAGAGAAGAATGTCTCTTTGAACAACTTCAGTGCTGATCAGGTAACCAGAGCCCTGGAGAATGTACTAAGTGGCAAAGCCTGAAGTCTCTCCAGTATGGATGATGAGGAAGAGCCCCAGAACCCTGGGTTCTGCTGGACTGCAATGTGGAAAAATGTGTTCTCTTATTCCTTATAAAGCTTATGCTGAAAAACACTGCCTCTGGATATTCTTGTCCATGTTTTACCCTGTACATCTTATTGTACAACTACTGAAGCAAAGCAATTTAATATAAAAATAAAACTTTATTCTTATTTAAAGCCACCAGTTGTGGCTGTAGTGACACATGTTGATAAACAAGCTGAAGAGAATGAGAGAAGAGGATCAAGAGTTCACGGCCAATCTTGGCTACACAAAAAGAAAAGCCACCAGCTGATAAATCAAAAACAAAGGTGGGGGGTGGGGGAGGAATGAGAGCCAAGGCCTCAGAAAAATTAGGTCACACAGATCTGCCTCTGGTCCTCATACCTAGACAGTGCTGGGTAAAAGAAGAGAGGTTGGGGAATAAAGATCTTGGCTTAGGTATGAGAGCAGAGGGCATGAAACATTGCAGTTATCCTAATCCCCCCGCCTCCTTTTACGAGGCTCCACTGTTTCTTCAAAGAAAGTGGGCCAAAAAGTCAGAGATAAGGATTACAGCATCAAGAAGCCAGGTCATATCAGGCATGGGTGGCTCACTTCTGTAATCCTAACTACTCAGGAGGCAGAGATCAGGAGGATGGCGGTTCAAAGCCAGTCCCCAGGAAAAAAGCTATCACATAAAGGGGCTGGCAGCAAGTGGCTCAAGTGGTAAAGAGTGCCTGCCTAGCAGGTGTGAGGCCCTGAGTTCAAACTCCAGTGCTGCCAAAAAAAAAAAAAAAAAAGTCCAGGTCACCCATGAAGAGCTGTCTGCCAGAGAGCATGCACCCGATCTTGAAGCTGGGCCTCCTCCTGATGCCTTTCCAAGGCCTGTAGCCCTGACTGCTGCAGGAAGTCCTGGGCAGCCTGAGGTCAAAGAAGAAAAGGATTCAACACGTGGGTCCCTATGCCCTAAGACTCAATTCCCACAGTGACCTGGGTTAGCCTACTTCTCGGAGTGGGTACATTCCCAACAGGATGGTGAAAGTTCTGAGCAGCCACCACAGGCTAGCCCAGCCCAGAAAGCAAATACAGTTCAGACTGGAAAGGAGCCATGGTGAGACCAGAGGCTTCTGAGCAGGAGAGATTGGGGACCAGGTCCGGAAACCTACCTCTGGCTGATAGAGGAACAGCAACTGCAGCAGCTCCAAACTCTGACCTACTACTTCAGTGTCAGAAAGAGCCAATGTGTTCAGCAAGCAGGGAAGCAGGGGCCCTGGCCACAGGTGCTGGCAGTAAGCTGGACCCTTTTCTGCAACGTTGCACAGAACTGTAAGAACCTAAAGAGATACATATACAGTCCCCAAAAGGATGAAAACCGAAGATCATAATTATAGCTAGAATGTATGTAGTGCTGACCACATGGCTCAGGCACTGTGCCAAAATAGACTGAAGCTTCAGGTGGTCAGTTGATTACCGTGAGGAAATTAAGTAGTAACCCATTTTACAGACATAAACCTAGACTGCTCTACCTCTAAAGCCATATCACACCACCTGACCACTCTAAGAGTACTTCTGAGAGACTTTTTGTTTACACTGACCAGGAAGTCTTGGATTCAAGTGATCCCAGTACATACCAGTACGCTCACCACATTAGATAGTGGCACCAGCTGCAAGAGGGGCTCAATCAGATCCAGAGAGAGCAAGGAAGTACAAAAAGTAGGACTGTTTGCTGGAAGGGAAAATGTCAGTGTGAAATACTTTAAACTGGGGCCTGAAGTGCTATCCCCTCCCAGTCCTACCCCTACAGCCTAGGCACTAAGAAAGTACCCCTATGTCTAAAGATCCCAGCACTGCTCAGTTTGGAGCAAGAACTGCTGCTGCCCAGATGGGTGGCCTGCAGTCCCCTGTGGACAAAGAATGCTTGTTCTTGCAGATGGCTACCAACTCATTCCTGGAGCATGTACAGAAGAACTTTGGCCTTCTCCCTGAGTCCACTCCCCACTTTGATTACCACTTTAGCCTCCCAGAGGACAAGGGTATCAGAGATCTCTTTAACTACAACTTTAGGGACCTGACACCCCTGGGCTTCTGATGGAGCTTGGAGGGGTCAGGGTCTCCCAAGAAGCACATCCTGTCTCCGTAGCCTTGGAGACTTCTGCCCCTGGCTGTCCTCCCAACCCTACCTCCAGTAGCTTCTATCTCTGGGGTCTGGTCCCCAGCAGACTGAACAAGTCAGTAAAGGAAGGATTCCATGCCTGTGACATGGTATTTGTATGCACCCAAAACCCTACACGTGCACCTGGGGTGAGTATGTGTGAGCATGTATGTGTGTGCAAATTCTAGGGAATTAAGGTGAACACACCTGTGTACTATGCACATGCCTGGATGTGCATGAATCCATGCATGCACTAGGGGGAGCTCTAACTGCATTTTCACTCTCCTTGTTCCGGAAGTCTAGTGAGGCCCTGGGCTACCTGTCCCAGAATCCTGTGCCAGGACTAGGTCAGGTGGGTAAGGCCTGGCTGGCTGGGTTTTCAGGACAGCAAGAGCACTTCCATTTTAAAAGGTTTTTCTCATCAAAGCTTTAATGGAGTATTATTTATTTATGAAGGCCTCTTTGGCTAGCCTGGCTAACAAGCAAAGTGTAGAAGGGGGGTATAGGGCTAATACCTCACCTCCCTATACTCTTGAGGAAGGATAAGGGGCCCTGAAATGTACTTTCACCCCATTCTGAAAGACCCAAGGCGATTTATTTATTGAGGAACTTGGGCAAGCAAGAGTGCTGACAGTGATGGAGAAGTGGTCCCTCTCTGGGGGCATCACTCGGGGCCCCATCTGCCACCTCTCAGGTTAGATATGAGCTGGGAGAGTTAAAGACCATTACAGACAGGGTGGGCAGAAGGGGTGGGAGAAGGGCCTCCCCAACTGAGAACGCAAGGGCCCAACCTGTAGTGTGTGAAGTGCCTTCTCCCCACTGGGCTCTTCCCCATCCTCCAGTCTACACTTTGTTTCATAACAGCTATGTCCCTCCTGCTTTTGTTTTAATAAATATTTTGATAAAGTTAAAATTTTAAAAAGGTCCTGGGCAGACTGTGGTGCATACCAGTGAGGTTGTTGAGGAGCCACAGGCCCTCAGGAAGCAAGCTGGGCTGTTTCTGAAGAAAGAACTGAAGAAGGATAAATAAGGCTGCCATAACACGCTCATCTATGAGCTCCATTTGCCCTCCCACAGCCTCCACTGGCACGTCTGTTAGCAGGTTACTTAGACACCGAATCACAGGGCATATGAGCTGCAAACATAAATTGAGGGTCAGGTATAAGGAGGAAGGGGAAGGCAGACACCAGACAGGAAGAACATAAAGAAACATGTCCCAAACCCTGACCTGTCCTTTTCACCTACCAGCTCCAGTCCTGCATCCTCCGTTCTCTGGACAGCCCCAGCCAGGTCCAACAGCAGCAGCCCCAGAGTAGACAGAGCACCATGAGTGATAAGCAGGGCATTATTGACCTGGCTGGGCAACAGGAAGCAAGCAGTCACTATCCAGTCGATCCCACCTTTAAGCTAAAACACAGCCTAGGTCTGTGGGTCTCCTAGGCAAAAGAGAGGACCACAGAGGGATGAAAACTCACTACAGCAATTCCAGAGACTGAATTCAGTTCAAAGACCTAAGTGACATGGAAGGGAAAGATCTCTGGATTTTCCCAATTGTCTGTGTACCTGCAGATGATGTAGTGAAGGCACCAAGCAAACTCCACAGCCACCCCAGGGCTCAACTTTGGGCCAGGTAGCATCAATCGCAGCATGTGCTTCGGGAGAGTGGAGTCCAGGATAGAGCTGCCAGCAGAAGTAGAGCTGTAAGCAATAACCATGAAGATGCCAGAGGCTCTTCCTAAACCCTTATAGCAGGAGGAAAAGTGTCCAAACCCAAAGCTCTTCCTAACCAGATGCATGCAGTTAAAATGTGCAACATCTTTGGAAATCAGATCTGATCAGACACCCCTGGGCTATACTACCAAAAGGGTCAACCCTGGATGCACATCTGAAGAAGTAATTTTACTTACATAATGATCTTCTCTGGAGCTTCCTTAGCCTGCAGAAGCTGAGATAAGGCATACCCAAGAGCTTCTAGCACTGCTGCATGGGGGGACTAAAAGTAGACAGGGTAAGGATCTGACTCTGGAAACTGGGTCATAAGATCTCTGAAGACTTTCAGCCCCTTGACACAGCAGAGGTTGGAGATACCTAGCAAAGCCAGTGGGGCATGTAGAGAAGGCTTGAAGGGAGCCTTGCCAGGGAAGGAAAAAGGAGGCACTCACCTGGATGCAGGCAGCCAAGGCTGGAATGATACCCTGTGGCAGGAGTTGCCTTCTCACAGCCTCACTCTCCACGATGAGGTTCCCCAGTGTATACAGACACAGCTCCTGAAAGCAGGCAACAAAAGCACTGGGCTGGGCTTATCCCATGCCAAGCCAGGGATGTGAAGAGGAGCATGGAGCAGCCCTGTCCTTGAAGCTCACAACAAAAGGGTGGGGAGATGACGGGTGTATGCACTGCTATGGACAAGAGAGAAAAACTTTTTTCCTTCCCTCTACCTCCCAGCTCAAACTGGATCCAAAAGCACAATTTTAATTCAAAGCCCAGGGGCTCAGGGTGTGGCTCAATTGGTAGAGAACCTGCCTGGCAAGCACAGGCCCTGAATTCAAGACTCTGAGTTCAAACTCCAGTACCACAAAACAGAAACATAATTAAAACCCCAGAACAAGGTAGGGAGGGACAGAGCTTACTATAAAGTCTGAGCTGTGACCGGAGAGGTAGGTGAGGAGGTAGGAAGTAGCTGGCAGACAGGCTTCAGCCACCGTAGACTGCTCAGAATGAGAGAGCTCATGCAGGCACCGAGCGGCCTCAAGCTGCAACAGAGCCCGGTTGCTGGTCAGGAGCCCAACAAGGGTCCGCATGCTGCTCTCCAGCCTACATGAGTGAATACCAGAATCCTGCTAAGCTATAGTCTCTTCCTTTCACACTCTACCCTTGGAGCCCCAGCCAACCACTCACACCACCCACACTGACCGGATGAAGGTTTGCTGTGTCTCAGGGTGCTGCAAGCCATGACGGAGGCTGACCAGAGCCTTTTCTCTCTCCTTTTCATCTGTCCCCCACTGGGCTAACCTCAGGAGCTGCTGGACCTAGACACAATCAGCAGAAGCAAGTGGCCACTTAACTAGTGAGACCTCCAATATCACACCATACCCAGAACTTGTCATTAATACTAATATGGCTAATAAGTAGCAATCTTTGCACAGCAGTAGACAGGTAGGGTTATCAGAACTGGGTCCTAATCCCAGCCCTGCCACTTACAAGGGACCTGAACCTGTTTCCTCATCTGTAAAGTAAGAATGACATTATCTGCTCTGCCTTCTTACAGGGTACTTCAAGGATAGCATTTAAACCTCTTAGCCTGGCAAAACCTACCCCTCCAGCCATTCTCCCTACATTCCAACAACACCTAGAACAACATATGTTTTAACATTTCCAAGCTTTTGCATGTCTATTCTCTCTGCTTGGGATACCCTCTTCAGATTGCAGCTCTGTTCAGATTTCTACTAATCCTGGCCTAGGGAAGTTAGCTCTTTCTGGCTTATTTAAACAGATTTAGTAGTTTTTCTTATGCCTCATGCTTCCTTCATTGTAAGTGGTAGGACATCTCTCTCCTACACTGGTTTGTAAAGCCCTTCAAAGCAAAGAACGCTATCTTGTCTTTGTGTACCTCAGTGCCCAGCACACTGTCCTGACAGAAAGTAAACACACAATGAATAAGTAGTATAGCCTAGGAGTAAGTGTGTTGTAAACTAGATGTGTAAACATGAGCATAACCAATGCTTGCTGAACATAACGTTCATTTACTTTTCAATTTCATTTACTCATTCAAAAAATACAGGATATATTCCAGATATTGTGCAGACTTCTGGATTTTCAATGACAGCAAATGAGATAGGGTCTAGATTCTTCTGCATTTAACGTGTAGTAGGAGAGATAATAAACAACCAATTAGATAATTGAATACTTGGCAAGAAACAGAACCAGGCATGGTGGTACACTCTTGTAATCCAGCACTAGCGAAGTCGAGGCAGAACTGTGAGTTCAAGACCAACCTGGACTACACAGTGAATTCCTGGCCAGCTACCAAGGCAGAATACCAAAAGGGACCCACTTTAGACGTAGCAGATGTAAAGGCCTTGAGACAGTAAAGAGGCTGGTACACTGTTCCAGGAACTGAAAATGGGACAGTGGTTGGGATGAGTAAACTGAGGTCGGAGGTATGCTGAGGTTAGTTAGATCATGCAGGACTTTACAGGTCACAGGAAGGATTCTGGTCTGTTTTCTTTTTTCAAACGAACTGTGAGGAGCAAGTGTACTATCCAGAGATGGTGTCAGCTGACTCCAAAGATCTTTAAAAGGTAAGTAAGGCTAGGATGTGTTGAAGGGGGACAAAACAATGAATTGCAGAGGATGATTTCCGTTTCTGGCTTGCCCCCATTGGACGCGTGGAGTACGTGTAGCGTGGATCAGCTTTGGGACAGAGTGCGCGAACTCGCGGAAATTTGGCAGCGCACACCCGCCCTGCCCCCTCACCTCCGCTTCCCCAAGAGTCGTGGCCGCAGCCTCGCCTCCGATTTCCTCCTGGGCGTCTTCTCTCAGCAGCCTCTTGCTGACCAGCTGCTGCTCTCTCCGCGCCTTCCGCAGTGCTGGGGGCACAGGACTGGGTTCAATTTGGGAGCGCAGCGCCAAGGACCAGAAGCCTCCTCCCCTATCTCCAACCGCCACACCCATCGCTTCCCCAGTTCCCTTGCCGGCCCGCACCAGCTTCCCGCTCCCGCCGGCGGCGCCGCAGCTCCTCCATCCCGCAGGCCAGCGGCTTGAGTCGGCGTTGCCGTGGGTTCCACATTGCGGAGATGGATGAAATTCACCCTTAGCTCTGCGGCCTGGACGCGGCCTGGAAGCGTAGAAAACGCCTCCCAACAGCGCAGGCGCAAAGCAGAGCCTCGGCCGCGCGTTGTGAGGGCGGGGCGGACCCGGGCGAGGGGCAGGGAGGGGCGGGGCGAAAGTAGAGGGGGCGGGACAAGCCGGAATTCCAAGAGAAGGCGGGGCAGCTGTCACTCGATCTCTGCTTGGTTTCTCTCTACCAATTCTTTTTTTGAGGGGGCGGTACTGGGGTTTGAAATCAGGGTTTAACACTTGCTAGGCAGACGCTCTACCACTTGAGCCACACCGCCTACCCCCTTACCAATTCCTTTTTTTTTTTTTTTGCCTTACTGCAGTTTGAACTCAGGACCCTTACTATTTGAACCACGCCTCCAGCCCTTTTTTGCTTTAGTTACTTTTTTCGGATAAGGTCTCGCATTTTTGCCAGGGGCAGAGACTGGGATCCTCCTACCTGGCCTCCACATCTGGGAATCACAGTCAGAGGCCACACCCCTTACCGCACCCACCCTTCACTACATCCCCATCCAGTTTATTGGTTGGGATGTGGGGGGGGGGTTCTATACCTTTTTGGCCCTACAGGTCTCCATCCTAGATCCTCCATGTCTGTACCTCTCTACCAGCTGAAATTACAGGCGTGAGCCAAGGCACCTGGCTCTCCTTACCAATTCTAAGGAAAGAAACTCATCCTGAATCTCAGCTTCCTCAGTGAGGATGTCACTATCCACTCAGCAAACACAGCTTCCCCATTCCCACCACACTCTAAACGAATTTTTAAATAGCCCTGAATTAGAGGAAGAACGGCAACGCCATTTCACGAATAACTAAGCTTCCACTGATGAGCTCTGCCTAAAAGCTTCAAAAAGCTTGAAGAAAACCTTTTTTTTTTTTTTTTTTTTGCAGTACTGGGGCTTGAACTCAAGGCCTTCACCTTGAGCCACTCCACTATCCCTATTTTTGTGAAGGGTTTTTTGAGATAGGGTCTTTCGAACAGTTTCCCCAAGCTGGCTTCTAAACACGGTCCTCCTGATCTCTGCTTCCTGAGTAGCTAGGATTAGAGGCATGAGACACTGGTGCCCAGCTTATTATCCCCTTCTTACTGGTGAGGAAAATGTAATTTCATTGCCCTGTGTAAAAGGAATTCCCATTTTTTGTAGTAAAAGTAAGGGCAAAGTACTATTAAGAAAGGAAATTAGTATCCACAGGATAGACACGGGGAAAGGGGGAGAAACATTACCTGCTCCTCATGCAGAAAATGGGAGTAAAATATCCACTTTTGGGGGTCTGGGTTGGGACTGGGGTTTGAACTCAGGGCTTCACACTTGCAAAGCAGGTGCTCCACCTCTTGAGCCACACCTCCAGTCCATTTTGCTCTGGTTATTTTGGAGATGGGGTCTCACAAACTATTCACCCAGGCTGGACTTGAACCTCGATCCTACTGATGTCAGCCTCCCAAATAGCCAGGATTACAGGCGTGATTTTTTAAGATAAAATAATTCACCAGAGTGCTCGCTTCAGCAGCACATACACTAAAATTGGAACGATACAGAGAACATTAGCATGCCCTCGGCACAAGGATGACACACAAATTCATGAAGCGTTCCATATTTTAAAAAAAATTCACCAGAGTTTGAGCACCACTACTCTACCCAGCACTGGGGAAACACTGGTGTTGGGGGGGGTGAAGGGTTCCCACACCCTCAAAATCCAAATTGTGGCCAACTAGGCCCTGCTCTCTTCTCCAGTCTGAATTTTCTTCTGCAGTCTGAATTATAAGGGCATTTCACCTTACCCCATTTCAAAGATTTCTTTATTCCTTAAATAACCCCTGCCCTCTCCATCCCCTGAACTTTTGCACAGGCCATTCCCTCTGCTTTGAACCCTAGCTCTGCCCTTACCAGCACTCTTCCATTAATATCATCCTCAACATCTAAACTGCAATGTCACTACTCAGAACCACCAGACCCATGCACCTGTTATGTGTTCTTCATAACCCTTTCACGGCTGTCACTAAGTTATACTGTAATTGTTTCATTTTGTCTTCTTTCACATCCCCTTCGTAGCTTTAAGTGAGTAGGGTCCTGGTGGCACTGAAGAATTTTTATTGGAGGCCTCTAATTTTTATTAAACTATTACTTAGGCAAAGGTACAAGAGAAAAAAGGAAGGAAGAAAGAAAGAAAGGAAGGAAGGAAAAGAAAAATTGTTCTTTGAATCACCTTCCTTCAATTCTATCCACTTGGAGTCATCAATGAAGTCTGCAATCTTCTCCACAAAACAGCCAATTAAATACCAACAGACTGTCATCCTGTCCTCCATATCTTCTCTCCAGACCTAATATATCCATATATCCACCCAACCCTGGGTAGCATTTTTTCTTTTTTCCGGTACTGGGGATTGAACTCAAGGCCTGGTGCTTGCCAGGCAGGCTCTCTACCATTTGAGCCATTCTACCAATTCTTTTTGTGTTGATTATTTTTAAGATACTGTCTCACTTCATGTCCAGGTTGGCCTGGACCTGACTTCAGTGGCCTGAGTCTTCTGAATGCAGAGGTTCAGAGAGAGAAGAACAGCAGTTAAGGCTACCCACAACAGACATGGCTCTGTACCAAATACTTTACTCACAGAAAGGTACTACTGTTATCTCCAACTTTAAAAAGCAGGGCCCCAGAAATCCAAGGCACAGAAACTTACCCAAGTCTTATAACCTCAGCAGTAAAGCTGGGATTCCAAGCCTGGCTGCTGACTCCAGAGTTAGTATATTTAACACTGAGCTATAGTCACATCTTGGCCCTCAGGGATGTCACAGTGACCTGGCATGGCTCAGGGTATCAGGGCACATTCAACAGAGACACAGAGAAGCAGTGCATTCTGAGAATTCCCTGTTTGGGTTGGGAGCAAATGTGTAGCTACTCCTTAATTAAAGAATAAGTAGGGGACACAGAGTAGCTCAGTGGTAGTGTGCTTGCCTAGCATGCATAAGGTTCTGAGTTCCATCCCCAGTACCACAAAATAAATAAATAACAGAGGATGTATGAATTTAAAAGATTTTCAAGTAGCACTTTTCCCAAAAGTCTAGGAGTATGGACCTGTGAGGGCTGTTGTAAATGTGTAATCCCTATCCCCACCCTCTGCAACATTTGCTTCTGGCCCAAGGCCATGGAGGGGATCATCCCTTTCCTGTACCTACTGCACAGGCCTGAGGTGCATGAATCATCTGGAACCGCCTGGCCCCAAATGCCCTAAGTGCCCAGAAGAATTCTTGTTTTGGTCCTTCTCCTTGCAACTATTTCATTGCAATATTTCCTAGAAGGGAAGTGAGTAGTGCTGTGAGGAGGAAGAAAAGTGGGGCCGTCACCAGAGTTTACGGAGGCGGGAACAGCGTGACATCCCAGGATTACACAAACTCTTAGGGGCTGCCAAAAGAGCTAGGACAGATAAACGCGTGGAACCTAGAAGCCGGAAGGTGCTGCTGGACAGGAAAGAAGCCAAAGCCGTTCCCAGAGCCAGCCTGGGCCATAGAGGCTTTCAGGACTTATCGACTATGGTAAGTTATACGGTCTTGGGGGTCAAAGCACAGTCACTTGAGGAACCCCAGGAACTCACTGGGGCTTCCCTGACCTCTGCTTTTTCTCCCAGGAGCGCGTTCCCTGCCTGTTGCTGCTGCTTCTACCGCTACTGTGTATTTCTGGGGCCACACCAGAGCCCTGCGAGCTGGACGACGATGACATCCACTGCTCCTGCAACTTCTCGGATCCGCAGCCCGACTGGTCCAGCGCCTTCCAGTGTATGGCTGCCGTGGACGTGAAGATCCATGGCGGCGGCCGCAGCTTGGAACAGTTTCTAAAGCGTGTGGACCCAGACACCGACCCTCGGCAATATATGGACATGGTCAAGGCTCTGCGCTTGCGGCGGCTCACCGTGGGGGGTGCACAGGTTCCTGCTCTGCTACTGTTCGGCGTCCTGCGTGTGCTGGGATATTCCCGTGTCAAAGAACTAACGCTGGAGGACCTAGAGGTAACCGGCACCACCCCGCCGCCGCCTCTAGAAGCCACAGGGCCTGCGCTCACCACCTTGCGCCTCCACAACGTGTCGTGGGCGACAGGGGGTGCCTGGCTCTCCCAACTGCAGCACTGGCTCAAGCCTGGCCTCAAGGTACTGAGCATTGCCCAAGCACACTCGCTCGCCTTTTCCTGCGAGCAGGTCCGCATCTTCCGGGACCTCACCACCCTGGACCTGTCTGACAATCCTGGGCTGGGTGAGCGCGGACTGATTGCGGCACTCTGTCCGCACAAATTCCCTAATCTCCAGGTTTTAGCGCTGCGCAATACGGGGATGGAGACGCCCAATGGCGTGTGCGCAGCGCTGGCGATCGGCGCCGTGCAGCCCCACCAACTAGACCTCAGCCACAACTCGCTGCGCGCTTCTGGCGCTCCCTCGTGCGTCTGGCCCAGCGTTCTAAAGTCCCTGAATCTGTCATTTGCTGGGCTGGAGCAGGTGCCTAAGGGGCTGCCGGCTAAGCTCAGCGTGCTTGATCTCAGTTGCAACAAGCTGAGTAGGGAGCCTCGGCCAAATGAGCTGCCCCAGGTGGGTAACCTGTCACTAAATGGAAATCCCTTCCTGACCCTGGAAGCTTCCAGCCCATCAGAGAGCACCATGAACTCTGGTGTAGTCCCATACTGTGCGGGTTCACCGCTGGCTGTGGGGATGTCAGGAACACTAGCTCTGCTCCAAGGGGCCCGGGGATTTGTCTAAGGGGCAAGAGAGGAGAATGAATGGGTTTAGATTGTCTTGACTTCCAGGAGTCCTATCAAAATCTTGACCAACCATGTGGCTGCTTACTTTTATTAGGATTTTAAACCACGGGCCATATCACTCACTCAACAGATCCTTACTGGGTGTCTGCTATGTGTTGGCCTCTGTGCTGGATGGGGAATCCATCCTACTTAGACTTTCTTCACACTAACTCTCTAGAAACCTACCTGGTCCTTCTCAAGAAACTGCAAGAGCAAAATGGCAGAGAAATGTTGCCTGACTAAAGCTGCGTGGGAGAAATAATTTTCGTGTAATCAGGGCTTTCTGGGAAGCTTACTGGCACTTGGGTTAAAGGATGTTTGAATGGTAAACATACCTTGGAAAACAGAAGGTTTCCCTTCCCCCACTCACTTTCCAAGAGTCAAAGGTAATAAAACCAGAGCCGTTTGCTTAAACTCCTCTTTTTCCCCCATTCCCCAAGGGGAAGGGGCAGACATGCCTCCTGTCCAACATAAACTCTGAGCTGCATAATTTCAGGAGTCCTCTCTGCTGATGTAAAACTCCTCTGCCCAAGTATGATGGCTTTCACCGTGTCATTACCCCACACAATGAGAGATTCCAGCATACGCCAAGGATGTGAGATACAGCGTATTTCCAAGGCAGAGATCTGTGCTGTTCATACATATGAGGGTAATAAAAATAACTTTTAAAAAAACATACATATGAGGATAACCTTTTCAGGCTGGTTTTTTAAAAATTTTTATTTGCATATAATAGTTGTACAGAGGGGATATATTGTGACATTTACATATGTGCTTATGATACATCTTAATTAGATTCATCCCCCTCCATTATTCTCTTCATCCCCCTCCTCCTTAGAACAATTTCAACAAATGTCATTGTTCTATTTTCATAGTGATTACAAAATGCATCCACCATATTCATCCTCCTTCACCCTCTCTGTTTACCCTCCCCTCTCACTGGTACCCTCCCCTGGACAGGACCTGTTTTACCTTCCTGTCCTTCATTTTTTAAAGTGTATATTGATTATTCAAGGCAGTTTTGCCTTGGTATCTCAGACATGTATATATCACACTTTAATCAATTAACTCCTTCTGTTACTTTCTCTTTCTCTATTGCCCTGCTCCGCCATTATTCAACAGTTTACAGATACATCTTCATATACAGATAAATGCATTGTGTTTCAATATTATTCACTCTCTATCATTTTCTTTTCCTCTACCACCTCCCCATAGTTCCCTCAAACGGACCCACTAATACATTCTCTCCTTTCTCTCCATATATATATATATATATATATATATGTATATATATATATATATATATGATTATATATGTGATAATATATGTATTTATGTGTACATTTATCTTAGCTTCCACATATGAGGGAAAGCATGCAACCTTTGTCCTTCTGAGACTGGCTTACTTCACTTGACATGGTGATCTCCATCAGGATGACTCCTTGAATAAGATAACATCTCAGCACCTTCACAACTGCAGAATGAACATAATGTGCCCTGTAATCCACATTAACTCAGAGACTCAGAGCTATCACCTATCAAGAAGTGTGTTGCTTCTGAATCCCTTTCTCATTACAATGAGGAATCAGCTACATCCATCACAGAGCTAGGCACCTACCTCTCAGAGCATATGGGACAGGGGTTAGAAGAAGCATAGAGTCTGGTGCTCCTGCCTGCCTCTGGCCTGTGTCCAGAGCCACACCTTGATGGGAGAATCAAGAGGTCACCAAAACCAGATTCAAAGGATGGCAAAACACAACTATATTAGCCAGACATACACTGGTGTGTTTCCAAGGGACCATCTACCAGAATGTTGTGAAATTTTTTAAAGTTTCAGAGAATCATCACCTCAAGGCAGTTACTTACATTTGAGTAGATATAAACACACTTCATCAAATTGTTACAGAGACCTGTTCTACTTCAGACTCTGTGCTTAAAGCCTGGTAGATAAAGATGAATCAGAAACATATATGCCCTCACAGAATTCTCTATCCAGTAAGGGAGGCAGACACATGAAAGTTAGTTGTAATTCAAGAAGAGGAAGGAATCAACTTTATAAGGGGAAGTGGCCCTAGGAAGGATTTGCAGAAAACAGACTTGCAAAATCTGAGTCTTGCAGCATGAATATCATTTCTTCAGGAAGGTTATCCCAGGCAAAAATGGGCAGCATGTTCAAGGCTCAGAAAATAAATGAGCTGAATTGAGAAATTGTATCTGGTTAGATAGGGTGTTGTGATGGAAACTGAGACATTCAATTCATTCAAGTGCTCATTCCATGTTAGGTACTATACTGAACCCTGAAAATATAGCAGGAAAAAAGCAGAAGTTCCTTCTCATACAGTGTACAGATTCTAGTTGAATGCTGGGTGTTATGGACTGAATGTTTGTATCCCCTCCAAGTTCACATGTTGAAGCCAGGCATGGTAGCACATGCCTGTAATCCCAGCACTCATGAGACTGAGAAAGGAAGATCATAACTTCCAGGCCAACCTGGGCTTCACAGCAAGACCCTGTCTCAAAAAAAAAAAAAGACAAAAAATATTCTTGTGTTGAAGACCCAGAGTGGCAGTAATTGGAGATGGGGCCTCCAAGGAAGTAATTAGGTTAGTAATAAGAGTGGGGCCCTAATCCGATAGAAATAGTGTGCTAATAAGAGACACAGAGAGCCCACACATGCTCTTTCTGCCTCCCTATAAACTCACCGAGGAACAATCATATAAGGACACAGTGAGAAGGTGGCCTCTATAAGCCAGAAAGTAAGCCCTCACCACAACCCAACCAGGCTGGCCCTTGATCTTGGACTCCCTACCCCCAGAACTGTGAGAAAATAAATACATTTATGTTGTTTAAGCTACCCAGTCTATGAACTGTCTGAGACAGTGGTGGTGATACAAAATATCTAATTGTGATAGTGCTGTGAAGACAAATGAAACAGAGAAAGGAGACAGATAATGGTGATATGAATGACATGTTATTTAAGATTGTCGGGGAAGGCCTCTCCAATAAGGAATATTTGAAAAAAGATCTGGGTTAATTGGGAGAGAAAACTTGAGCATTTATGAGGGAATATCACTTCAGTCAGAAAGAACAGCAAATACAAAGACCCTGAGGTCTTTGGGATATTAAAGGTAGCAGTGGAGAGGCCAGTGTGGTTGCAGCAGAATGATCAAGATAGGGGAGGTGTAGAGATAAGGTCAGAGAGAGGCCATATCACATAGGATCTTGTAAAACACAGTATAGTCCAAGGCAAGAACCAGTCGGCAAATTATTATTGTGCCATGAGGAAATAAGTGCAAAAGTTAAGACTGTTTATTCTGAAATAGTACATGATCAAAACTATGCCTCAGTCTACTTACTTATCATTTTAAAATAAAATTGAACTTTCAACCACTAAAAGAAAAAAAAGAATAAGTATTGAGACAATTTATTTTTGTGGGGCTAAGAATCAAACCCAAGGTCTAGCACATGTTAGGAAAGGCACTACCACTGAGCTACACCCTATCCCCCCTTTTGTTTCAGTGCTGGGGATCAAACCCAATGCCTATCTGGAAAATAAACCCTATATGAGCAAACGATTTTCGACAAGGCTGCCAAGACCATTCAGTGAAGAAGAACACAGTCTTTTCAATAAACAATGTAGAGGAAACTGGATATCCGCATGCAAAAGAATGAAGCTTGAGCCTTACCTAACACCATAAACAGAGTCTAACTTAAAATGGATCAAAGGCCTAAATGTAAGAGCTAAAATAACAAACTCTTAGAGGAAAATACAGTGCAAAAACTTGACAATGTTAGGTTTGACAAAGACTAACTTAAAATAGATCAAAGAGTTAAACGTAAGAGCTAAAATAACAAACTCTTAGAAGAAAATACCGTGCAAAAACTTTACAATGTTAGGTTTGATGATGATTTATTGCACATGACACCAAAGGCAGGTAACAAAAGAAAAATAGGTAAACTGGACTTCATGAAAAATTTTAAATTTGTGCATCAAAAGACACTATCAGCTGGGAATATGTCTCAAGTGGTAAAGCACTTGCCTGGAAAGTGCAAGGTCCCTGAGTTCAAACACCGGTATCACCACCACCAAAAAAAAAAAAAAGAAGACACTATTTACAGGGTAAAAAGGTAACCCAACACATAGAATGAGAGAAAATATTTGTAAATCATATATCAATAAGAGATTAATATCCAGAGTATATTTTAAAAACTCCTAAAACTCAACAAGAGAGAAACAAAAAACCCAAAGAAGTGTTGAATAAACACTTCTCCATAGAAGATATATAAATGGCCAATAGGCACATAAAAATGTGCTCAACACCACTGATCATAGGGAAATACAAGTCAACACCACACGGAGGCTGAGTAGAAGGAGATTCAAGCCCAGGAGTTTGGGACTGTGGTGCTGTGCCAATTAGGTCTTTGTGCTAGGAATGAGTATCAGTATCGCAAGGTTGAAAAGCCTCTGCACTCCAGCCTGGGCAACAGAGACCCTCCTCTGTCTATAAAAACAAAAACAAAAAATGTTCAAGGAGATAAACTTACAGTTATTAGGAAGTAACCAGAAAACAATAAGCATTGTAAACATGTATCGCACTTGTTCACTGGTGGTGGGATGTAAAAATGGAACAACTTCTGTGGAAAACAGGGGACTACCACTCTTGTTCAACTCTGAATATCCAGTCCCCAAAATGGTGCCTTTATAAATCATGCCAAGTGTTCTGTCGGTCTTTACTGAATGATTGAATGAGAAGAGTAGGCTTAGGGCAGGGTATTGCTGCCATGTGGAGAGAGAAAAAACACAGAAAAGCCTTTTATTATAAGGTAAACAAAAGATTTTTCCCATGTGATACATCTTTTTTTCTGACAGTGACCAACAACCCAGAGACAGGATTCACTCATCCAAAGTTTGGGTGGAGGGATAGGGTATCTCCAATGAAGCCCAAAGATTGAGAAATTGAACTGATATAGCAAGACTGAATGATGAACCCCAGAGAAGGAAGGAAGTGAAGTAAGTACAGGAACATGGAGTAAGAAGAACAAGGTTCCATTTCCACTTGTCACTCTGTGGTCAGATATCTGGTGTGGTATGATGAATTTTCTGCTGAAAGAATATGACTATGCTGGATGCCCGTGGCTCAGGTTTGTAATCCTAGCTACGCAGGAGGCAGAGATCAGGAGGGTTGTAGTTGAACCTATGGCCAGCCAGGGCAAATAGTTCATCCTATCTCAAAAATACCCAACACAAAGAAGGGCTAGAGATATGGCTCAAGTGGTAGAGTACCTGCCCAGCTAGTTGAGGCCCTGAATTCAAGCCCCAGTATTGCCAAAAAACAAACAAACAAAAAAGGATATGACCATAGGACTTCTTTTTTTGAGACAAAATCTGTTCCCTTGTAGCTTCCTCTTTTGTTTTTGTTCTATCATCTGGAACTAAACATACACAAGTTTTTTCCTTTACTACTGAAACGAGAGTTGTTGCTCTTAAAAAATTATTTTTTGCTCTCTTCTAGTCTTCTCTTTTCTAATACAAACCCTCCAGCCACATTTTCTAATACTTCCTTATTCATTCTCCACCTCATTTTCTCCATCTTTTTTTTCTTTCTTTCTTTCTTTTTTCTTTTTTTCCAGAGCTGCGGTTTGAACACAGGTTCAGGCTCTATACTCCTCCAGCTTTTTTTTTGTGAAGGGTTTTTTTTGAGATAGGGTCTGAGCAGCAAA